CTAAAGTTATTTAGTGGGTGTTTTGCTAAAGGGGCAGTTGTTGTCTCCCCACCTGTAGGATCTTTTAAGCAAACTAGTCCTTAAGCCAAGGTCCCCATGGGCCTTGTTTATGCACAGCGACCCCACCCATCTTCTCAAGTATTATATAACTAGAGGTGAATTTCAGTCTTAGCAGAAACATTTGGATTCTCTTCTAGGGTTTTGCTCGTGGCATCTGGACAGATCATGTTAATTATGAGGTGTTAGATAGTGTCTAAGAGCATAGGTCTGGCCACACACCTGTCCATGTATTAGCTGTGTAATGTTGGGTAAATTACTTATCTGTTCTATGCCTGAGTTTTTTCATCCTTAAAATTGAGATCCAACATGTTTCAAAACCAAAATAATTTTCATAAACATGGGGCAGCAAAACTAATCCACTTGAACTTTTTGGGTGACAATGACCTGACAGAAAGTTATGTGTTACTTTTGCCTGTCTCAGGATTTTTGGAAAGGGACTGTGGACCACCCGTATCTGCCTCACATTTTTGTTCTAAGGTTTAAATGAATTGCTATATGTAAAAGTGCTCAGAAAAGTGCTTTGAAGCTACTTCGTTCTTAGTAAGCAGTCAATAAACATTAGCTCTGATTTTCCCCTTGTCTGCAAGATTTTACTTTCTTGCAAGGAACAATTTTACTAAGACAAACACCTACTAAGTTCTATACATGTCTTGAGCCTTGGGGGCATGGTATGTTTATTATCAGAATGGGCATAATTCCTTCCTTTATGTAGGTAACAGTTTCCAATAATTAAATGGGAAATTAAAATACAGTGAGATGTTATTAATAGGAAAGAACTGGGCATTAAGGGATCATACAGTAGTTTAGTGGCAGGTGAGGGTCTCCCTGAAGAAGTGGTATTTGGGTTAAGACAGAGAAGTTCACCAGGTGAACAGGTAGGGGAAAACTGCTCCAGGCAGAGGGAACCGCTGTTGAAGGCTCACAGGAGAGATGAGGGATCTGCATTCTTTCTCCCTTCCCTGCGTGTCCTCATGATCTTCAAATTACAGGTCTCCCAAACCCACTTTGCTCCATGGGACCAGAGCTTTCCTCCCTGGGGAGGCTCCTTTAAAACTGGAGGCTAAGAGAAGCAAGGGAGAATGTATGTCCCCAGTGGGGTGGTCTGGAAAAGAAGGGGCAAGTTCCTGGGTGGCCCAGTCCATGCTAGTCTCATCATCCTCGGAAGTCACTTCTCAGGCAGAGGTGCTTGGAGGGCCACAGACCTGAGGATTTATCCATGTCCGCGGTGGAGGAAATGTTAGGAGTGCAGCAGAAGCATTCTCCACCCCTAACTCCCTGGTGCCTTCCTGACGTTGCTGCTTTTAGTCATATGTGGGCTAGGATATGAGACCACCCTGCTTTTAAAATTCCTGCGTCTAGATCAAGAATAAAACATAACCAGAGTAGTAGCTAGGGGAGTCTGCTCTAAATAATGCACCTAGTACAGTGCTTGGCATAGAGTAGGCAGCCAACACATTAGTTGCCCTTCTCTTTCGTTCGTATGCATCATAATACATTTTACCAGAAAGTGCATTAAAATAAGTGAATGAATAACCCGTAATCTCAAATGCTTTATCACTTTAAAGTTGAATAATTATCTAATAATAGAGTGTGATATTATGGTAATGTTAAAACTCCCAGTATCGTTGATACTTTTAAATTTCATTATATAGAACTCACATTTATTCTTGAGACCAATTTATTGGTTATCTTTGTTACTTAAAAAATTCTTCCTGCATTATGACTTTTGGCCTGCTATTACACACTAATATATAGACAGTACAAAGAAAAATTAAGAAGAGAAATCTTTTAAATATATTCTTTACTGTTAGTGTTGATTCTTATATCACATCAGTCCTGAGTACTGCTTTCTATATTCAGAATATAAAGAGTGAAGCTAATAGCTTCATAGAAAATTGTTTTTAAAAGGTATGAATTAATGCACAGTATGCATATTATACCAGCATTATTGTGAATAATTCATATTAAAGTTTTTTTTTTTAAATTTCTCTTTGTAATTAAGCATTCATTATTGGTAATAACGTGCTTTTCCAGGACAGGTTTTTCACCAGCCATTTTATTGCAGATTGGAGTGTCTCCCCTCCTTCCCCTCCCATTCACCTAACACACCCCTGACCAGCGGGATTTGAATACTGTTCCCACTTCACAGTGGAAGAAGCTGGAACAGGAAGGGAAGGAACGATGCTGCTTACACAATTCTTTGTGAGAAGCTGCAGTTGATATTCCTCTATAACCTCTATAAATAAAATGTTATTTTGAAACTTTTTACAAAACTGATTTTAAACTGAGTTTAGTCTAAATTTGCCTTGAGCTGAGAGAAAGAATACACTTCTTTAAATACAGCTAGCTGTTTTAAAGAAAAGCAAATTAAATTCTTCTTCTTTTATCAGCTTCCATTTATCCATACATTTGTGACTGTGGATAAATCATCTCTTCATTCAGCCTTTAGGTTTGGAAGTCCTTCCTTTTTTTACCTTTTACTGTGATATTTATAATAAGGAATTCCTTTAATTAGATAAATGAAATTGAAAGTGAAAAAGATTCTTTGGTAAACTGAAATTAGAATAATTATATTCATTAGTATTTATTTTTCTAAAAGAGATTTTTTTTCTTCAGTGTCTTGTAACTTTTGTACAGGTCTTTTACATCCTTGGTTAAATTTATTCCAAGGTATTTTATTTACTTTTTTTGAAGTGGTCGAGAGTGGGATTGTTTTCTTAGTTTCCTTTTCTGATAGTTCATTATTGGTGTATAGAAATGGAACAGATTTCTGGACATATATTTTGTATCCTGCTATTTTACTGAATTCATTGATCAGTCTAGCAGTTTTTTGGTAGAGTCTTTAGAGTTCTCCATATACACCATTATGTCACCTATAAATAGTGACAGTTTTACTTTTTCATTTCCAATTTAGATGTATTTTATTTTTTCTTCTTTTCTGATTGCTGTGGGTAGGACTTCTAGTACTATGTTGAATAAGAGGGGTGAAAGTGGACATATCTGTCTTGTTCCTGGTCTTAGGGGAAACACTTGTAGTTTTTGCCCATTGAGTCTGATGTTGACTGTGGGTTTGTCATATATGATCTTAATTTCATTGAGGTATGTTCATTGTTTTCCCTGTTTTCTGAGAGTTTTTATCATAAATTGATGGATTATATCAAATGCCTTTTCTTCATCTATTGATAAGATCATGTGGTTTTTAGCCTTCATTTTTGAATGTAGTGTGTCATGTTTATTGATTTGCAGATGTTGAACCAACCTTGCATTGCAGAATAAATCCCACTCGATTGCACTGTATGATCCTTTAAATGTTTTGCTGGATGTGGTTTGCTAATACTTTGCTGAGGATTTTAGCATCTATGTTCATCACGGATATTAGCTATCATTTTCTTTCTTTGTAGTGTCTTTATCTGTTTTTGGATTAGGATAATGCTGGCCTCATAAAATGAATTGGGAAGTCTTCTCTCCTCTTGCCTTTTGCAAATTGTTTGAGAAGGAGAGGTGTTAGTTCTTTTTTTTGCATGCTTAGTAAAATTCACCTGTGACACCATCTGCTCCATGACTTTGGTTTGTTGGGAGTTTTTTTTATTACTGCTTCAGTTTTACTAGTTGTAATCTGCCTGAACAGATTCTCTGATCCTTCATGATTCAGTTTTGGAAGATTGTATGTTTCTAGGAATTTATCCATTTTGTCCATATTGTCCGATTTGTTGCTACACAGTTGTTTGTAATATTTTCTTACAATCTTTTGTATTTCTGCGGTGTCAGTTGTGTCTCTTTTATTTCTGATTTTATTTATTTGGATCTTCTCTCTTTTTTTTCTTGATGAACCTGGTTAAATATTTATTCATCTTGCTTTTCTTTCCAATGAACCACCTCTTGGTTTCATTGATCTTTTGTATTTTTGTTTTTAGATTCTATTTCTTTTATTTCTTCTCTGATCTTTATTATGTCCTTCTTTCTGCTCCCTTTGGGCTTTGTTGTTCTTTTTCAAGTTCCTTTAAATGTATAAAGTTAGATTATTTGAGATTTTTCTTGTTTCTTGAGTTAGGCCGGTAATGCAGTGATTTTTTTTTTCCTTTGGACTGCTTTTGCTGTGTCCCATCAATATGGGGGTGTTGTGTTTTCATTTCCTTTTGTTTCAAGGTAGTTTTGACATTTTTCTTGATCTCATTATTAACCCATTCATTGTTTAGTAACATGTTATTTAGCCTTTTTGTCTTTGTGTATTTTTCAGTTTTTCTCTTGTGATTCATTTCTAGTTTCATACCATTATGGTCAGAGAAGATGCTTGATATGATTTCAGTCTTCTTAAATTTATTGAAACTTGTTTTGTGTCCTAACATGTGTTCTATCCTAGAAAATATTCTATGTGCACATGAAAAGAATGTATATTTTGCTGCTTTGTGAAATTCTCTGAAGTTATCAAGATATCAATTGAATCTATCTGATCTAGTGTGCCATTTAAGTCATCCATTTTCTTGATGATTTTCTTTCTGGAAGATCTAGCTATTGATGTCAATGGGGTGGTTCAATGGGGTCAAGAGACTATGACTGGAAGATCTAGCTATTGATGTCAATGGGGTCAAGAGACTATGACTGCATTCTTGTCGATCTCTCCTTTTATGTCCATCAAGATTTTCTTTACATATTTGGGTGTTCATATGTTGAGTGCATAATTGTTTACAAGGGTTATATATCCTCTTGTTAGATTAAATTTAATCTTAACTACAATGGTTGAACTTTCCACCTATGTTATATACCAAAGTTTCATGAATACATGGATCTATTTCTGGACTTTTTATTCTGTGCTTTTGTTCATTTTTGAGTGAGTCTGTGTGTGTTTGTTGTATTCATCTTTAAATATTTTTATATTTGAATTTTAGATGCACACATATATACACCTAGATTTTGAAATACTTTGGTTTTTTTTCTACTAGGTTTTGGACATAGTAAAAACAAGTATTCGTACAATTCTTCCACGTATCTGGAAGGTAGCTGATGTCGATGAACTACATTTATATCGGATTTTTAACCGGGTTTTTAATCGCTTACTCTGGAGTCATGGCCAGGGACTGTGGAATTGTTTCTGTGATTCGGGGTAAGTTCTAAGTTATCTTTTTATGATTTTCATTTAAAATATTTTACCAGCAGTTTTACGGATAGCTCAATACCATGGTTAAATTTCTTTAATAATCTCTTAAAATATGGACTTTTTACTACATAGAATTTTTAGTACTCAACTCTAATTTATGGCAGTTAGGCTGATTTAGATGAGATGATGAATAGGAGTATACCACCACCAAACTATTTTGAATTTAGGAGAAAAAGGTGGTCTTAATTAATGAAAAATCTCAAAATCCTTAAAGTTCTTCTATGGTTACCTTTAGGTAAATGATTTCCCAAATTATGGCTGTGCACCTGCTCCTCTCCAGATTTTCTGTCCTGCCAAAGCTGTTGTGACTCATTATCATGCGAGCCTTAAGAGAGCTAAAGCCAAACATGCCATACCTCCCTTTCATTCACAAATGAGTTTCCTTTTTGACTTCTCTTAATCCCATTGTTACTTTCCCAGTTGTACAGATTGGACACCTCAGGAGCATCTGCCTCTGCCTTCTTTGTTACTGTCTTTATTTAATCATCTGCTAAATCCTGTTAGTCACATTCTTATTATGGCTACTCTAGATTGTCTTTCATTGTTCTTAACAATTATCAAGTACTTACTACTGTGTTAAATACTTTTGGGGAAATAAAGTTGAATCTAACATAGATCCTTCCCTCAAGAGACTTAAAAAAAAATGGGAATAGGAGCACTATACAACTTTTTATGAGCTAGACATTGTTCTAAACACATTACATGTTTTAAGTGATTGAATCCTCATAACGTGACTCTGACGCAGGTCCTTTGATTATCTCTATTTTGTAGCCTAGGAAACTGAGGCACAGGTAGGTGCTAAGGACATAGTAAACTGGGATTTATATTCATGCCTTAACTAATTAGTTCTGCTGTCTCTAGTAGACAAAACAAGATATATACAAAAGTAATGGTTATAAAAGAACAGAGATAAGGTATTATAGGATCTCAGAGAGGAGGAGCCTTTTTGTGGTAAAAAGTGGAATTAATAGGTTTCTAGGCATTTTTGGCCTCCAATTTTTGTTTCCTTTATCCACCCTAGTCTCAGTGTCATTTCTTCAAAGTTGTAGTGAATTCCCTCATTTACCATGAAAGTCTAGACTTATCTAGGGGTACAGGACTCACTAAAATACTGGTTCTTTCTTATTTCTCTACTTTTCTTTTTCATTATTTTCCTCCATGAACTCTGTTTTAGAAAAACAAAGTCATTATTTTTCAAATATCTTAAAAATGGGTTTTTTTTTTCTTTCTCTGAGCTGTTGATGTCATGTCATGGAGTATCTGATTGGGCTGCTTGCTTCATCCCTATTCCTCCAATTCCCTCTGCATTATTTAAACCTATGTAAATACTCAGACTATACACTTCTTTTGTAAAACCTTAACAAACAGTTGTAGTTTGAAATGACCTCTTAATGTCCTCCATTTAAATATTTTAGTCATTTAGTACTGAACCATTTATAGCATTTGTAGACTTATTCTCACCACCATGATTATCCTCAGCTGCCATTCACCAACATGGAGAATTCATAATGTGCTCTGGGTTTTAATGAAATCAGAGAATAATGATGGCTATAAATTATTTCTCCAGAGACTTAAGGGAAACCTTTGAACTATACTCCATGGCCCCTTAGTTGACGTAGAAGTTCGCGCAATGTGAATTCATAATTGGAATTTTTGTTTGTTGATTCCTTGTTTGGAGTGCCATGTATGAATCCCAGCTGCTGCCCACCATGGAAGGCAGTGAGGCAGTCTGCGACTGATATGGGAGCTGATGACTTTGAGTCCATGAGATAATCCCCAATGTCAGACCCTAAGGATGCTCATAAAGTGGTGGTTCATTGCTGCTAGAGCTTCTTTTCCTTGAACTCTTTTGGTAATACACTCTAACTTAAGTCAGAATTCTTTTCATTTCTTCCTGGCAATATGCCCTTTCCAGTTTTCTCTGGTGGTATACATCACTGCTAGTAATGATAATGAGGCTATCATTAATTGAAGGCTTTCTAAATGCCTTGTACTGTTTTACATGTTAAATATCTTTACAATCACCACAACAATATGTTGAGTAATCTATTATTATTACTATTATTCTCATTGTATAGATAAGGAATTTGAAGCATAATGAGAGTATATAACTTGCCCAGGTTCTCATAATAACTAGGTGTGCCTGGATTTAAATCTAAGTTGTCTGAATCATCAAGAGCTCAAGGTCTTAACACTATGCTTCATTAAGTTCCTTCACAATAGCACTGACTGTGGTTGCTAAGCTTGCTTTATTGAAAGTCCATAGCACTAGCCAAATCCCCTTCCCATTGCACCTGGCCATGTGGAGTGCGAGTAGCTTTGAATGCATTTTTTCTTTTTTTAAACTTGGTGGTTTGTAGAGGTGAGTTTAATACCAAATTTTATTTTGCAGCTTTACACATGAGTTTCTTAGACTTCTTCACCTTCATGAAGTCAAATGGTGTTGTATGTGTTTGATTTTCAGTTTGTACCCAGAATAGTTTTACTTATCTTTAGATCATATCTGGTCAATGTATACTCCTTTAATTTTGGTCTAACAGCCTGACTACTAAGTCAGGATAGAACTATACTCAGTTTAGTTCTAAAGGAAGAAGATTTTAACAAGAGGTTACAGCTATCTTTCATAGTTAGGTATGAAATTTTGGAAAAATATAATCCAAATAACTCTGGGCATACTTGATTACTGCCTCTACCTGTCAACAGCCCAATAATAAATCAATAAGTAAACCATTCCCTGTCCACATCCAGAAATATCATAGAATATGGTAGATCTTTATGGTAGGTTTCTTTAGAATTGGCCTAGAAGTTATACTAATGCATCAAATAGAAAACATCTTCATCCCTTTCTCTTGCTCTTCCAGTCTGCTGAAGTCCATGTTTAGTGACCTTTTTTTATATCACTTGTAGCCTCCTGGGAGTGTTATATTGCCCCACATTCTGAATTGTGTTCTCTCCAAGGGAGTAGCTCTTGGAATTGTCCAGCATGTTTTTTTTTTTAATATTTTATTTATTTATTTTTAGAGAGGGTGAAGCGAGGGAGAAAGAGAAACATCGATGTGTGAGAGAGACATTGACTGGTTGCCTCTTGCACGCCCCCAACTGGGGACCTGGCTCGATACTCAGGCATGTGTCTTGACTGGGAATCAAACCAGAGACCTTTTGGTTCACAGGCTGGCACCCAATCCACTAAGCCACACCAGCCAGGGTGTGTCCACCACTTTTTACTGGGATGACAGAAGTCTAGGTTTTCCTGGGACTCAAACAAGGCCTGAGAGTTTAGGAAGGGTGGCCGAGGAAGTAACATTTCAGCTGAGATTTGCAGAATCTCAGAGGGAGAATTTGAAGAGGAAGAACAGGCATTTGCCAGGTATAGCAAAGAGGAGGATGCAGGGGCTACAATGCGAGAAGGAATGTTGTGTTTGGAATAGCCCTCTTTCCTCTCAAAACCCTGACATGTAAATCTCAAAGAAGAGAATCTGGTTTGGGCCCCTTAGCCAAAGGCATTTTCTTGTGGAAGTTTCTTATGGAAAAGCTTTTCTTTTAGCATCTTAGGGAAATGGGAAATTGTAGGAAGTATTCTAAGGCAGTCTGCTTCTAGGTTGAATTCTATGCCTACTTGAAAATATACGTATAACATGCAGACTACTTAAAATGATGTGAATCTTATTCTCTTTTGACTTTCATTTCAATGTGCTTTTTGTTTGTACTTTTCAGCTCATTACTCTTCCTGGTGCGGATTAACCAATTGGTATAGTCCAGGTGTTTCTTTACCTTCCCTTTTCCTTTCTTATGCTTAACTTTGGGCTACTCATCCATCCATTAGGTATCTGCGAGCGAAGGAGAAAGAAATGAGTCAGTTTCACTTTTTAGATAACTGCTTCGTTAAATGTTTTGATGAGAAAGGATATGAAAATTATTGCATTACTGGGTTATATAAATCTTTTCAAGTCTCTGAATTTCATTAACTCTCCTTTGTTGCTAGAGGTATTCAATATTCTGTATCTTATTAATATATTACTAACAAAAGTCATTTAATTTTATTTCATATCTCTCTGAGAATTTGGGGGTGCCAGAAAGAGCTTTTTAACCGTTTAATTTTTCTTTTTGAACTCATGGATTTTGATTCTCCCATTTCTTTGGAATTTAGATTCAGAAAGCAGAGAGTTAAAACCCTGGGTTCTTTGATAAAAGCACTGGTATTTATAATTGTTTCTACATCTTTCACCTTCTTAAAAAGTTTGTGTAGCATTGAAAGTTGAGATACTATAGTGTTATAGGAGCCTTTCACATTTGCTCAGCAATGCCAGGTGGTGGGTAGGAGGTGGGGTCTCAGTTTGAAGGACAGGTTTCCATTGTGCAGAGAAGGTGCCATTAGCTTAGTACTAAATGAAGCAAGTCCTGTTCATTTTCCTTTTTCTTTATGAGGGCCCCGGCATGCTGACGCTTCAGTATAGATGAGAGAGTAGAATTGTTCATTGGTGGTGAACACACACACCAAAAATAGGTAAAGGCCCTTGATCTATATGTTTATTTTAAATATTTGAGGAAGAATGAGAGAATGAAAAGCCAAAGCTGCTCATATTATAACTCACATATTCAGAATGTTACATCAGTTTAGAGTGTTATAGAAGAAGCTCTTTTATTTTCCATTTTATTTGTCCTTTTCTTACCTGTATACTCCAAGTCAGGAAAAGAAAAATTACCATGATGTGAGTTATTTGATAGTGGATCTAATCAAATGGCTCCGAAGGATCAAACAGAATATCCAAACTGAGAGGGGAGGTTTGTGAGAGAGGTTGACTTGTAGAAATACCCAGAATCCCAATGGGGAGAAAAGTAGGCAGACTGCCGGAACACAGGATACTTTCTGAGTGTATTTATATTTATATGAAATTTTTATTTCTCTGGGCTCAAACATGTAAGGCCTGCTAGATTGACTTATTAATTATAAATGCATTCCTTAACTAATTGATGTTCTTCACTATTTTTCTTTATCAAATTAGGTAAATTGGATATATACACATACATATATAAATATATAAACATATCTAGTTTTTCTAATATTAAGTAATAAATTAAATTTTATTTTTAGAGTTAATTTAACTAGCATATTATTCGCATATTACTGTTGATTCCTGAACATCTCAGAACATGCAAGAAAATTTATTCCTTTTAATTGACTCATTTGAATCTTTTAAGAAAACCTGTCATTCACTGATAACATGCTGTCTTTTTGAGACCACGTTTCTCCTGGAAAAAAAAAACACCCAGTAGTCTTTCTAATAAAAAAATACCTTTCTGAGTTTCTAAAGCATTTAAAAAAAATTCCAAAGATATCAAATATCCACAGAAGATTGAAAATGGAGTCTTTGAATTTCCCACTGGGAAGTACATTTCTTCAGAAAAATATTTTCCTTAATATTTCTTTTCTTCCTGAAAATCTACTTTTCTCTCTCTGAGGGTTAAGTGAATTGGTTTATGTAAAATGAGACTTAAACCACTACCTAGCCTCAAACCAAACTTTGCCCTTGAGGCTTGAAAAGAGTTTCATTTACACTAAGGAAATAAATTATCTCTGTCTCTCCCTCTCTCCTCCCGGTGGTGGTGGCGGTGGGGTGATAAGTGATGAGGTATATTCGGAGTTGGGCCATGACAGTAAACTTAGGAATTGTAACTACACACACGCATGTGCACACAAATAAAATTGAAGTTCACCCAAGAACATAAGAACGTGAACACTCACTACTGCCTGCTGCGACATGAGCTGAGTGAGGGCCCTACCTTTGGGGTTGCAGCAGGGCAGCGCTCGCTGGGATAACATTACGTCTCGAATACAGGACCTGTGCTCTAGGAATATCATGCATACAATTACATCTGAAAGTATTTTGAAAAGTGTGGTCATGATTAAGGGATTAATTCTCCTAGCACAAAGAAATCACAAATATCCTTTTAATTATTTTTGTGGGATTATTATTCATATAAAGGTAAATATAGCTTCCTAGAAAACCTAAATTCCTGGAATACCTCAGTTTTGAGAAATTAGCTCAGTATTTTACAAACACTTTAATATGGAGTAACTCAATTTCTTTTAGGAGGTGTTGGAAAACCGTCCTTTTATTTACCCACAGTTGGCAGCAGTAGTCTTTATAGACAAATGTCTGTGAATTCTATGTTGTTTTTTAATATCAAGATTAATATGTATTTATTTTATACCTTTCAATTGTTTGTAGTCACTTCTAATGTGTGAGCCTATTTCTACTTTTCCTTATTGCTTTGTTGCTAGGTAAGTAATATAGCTGGTTGCCATTTTTAACAGCCTCATGAGGTCATGTCTGTTTCCATGCCAACAGATCCTCTTGGGAGAGTATTTTCAGTAAAAGCCCTGAGGTGGTGACTCCTTTGCAGCTCCAATGTTGCCAGCGCCTGGTTGAACTTTGTAAACAGTGCCTGCTAGTGGTTTACAAATATGCAACTGACACAAGAGGATCACTCTCAGGCATTTGTACTGATTGGGGTAATTCCAGGTACTCGTTTATGTTGCCTAGACTCTGTGCGTTTTATACAAAGTGATGCCATAATGCAGTTTGAAATTGAAAGTCTTTGTGTATATTTCTAGTGAAAAAGCTAAAGACTGAAAATTCATACATACTCTTGTCTACAAAATAGTTTTAATTTACACAATCTTTACTTTTAAAGGACCAAACAAACCTGAAAGGGATTGCAGTAACCTACATGAAAATGAGATTATTTGGTTTACATACCTTTGCTTTCCATAAGCCAAGTACGAGCAGTTAAAAATGCTAATAAATTTAACTTTTTCCCCAATAGGGATATTTTAACATTTATCTTTAATCCTAACAGTTGAAAAGATGCCTTTAGTTTAATTTTTATTGTTCAGTATGCTTCTCCTACTCCCTTCATCACCAAACAAATCAGTGGGAGATGTATTTTGTTAAGTTCTATTTAAAAATCAAATTTTTATAAATATTATCCAGTTAAAATAGGTAGTTTCCAAAAGCATAAAAATAATATTGTTATTAAGTTGTATACGCAAAAATATACAGAGTAAACAAGAAGTACATTTTAGCATCTCAAAACAACCATAGCTCCCGTTAGAATTAAAGATGAATATGTGACTTTATTTTTAGTATACTTAAGTTGTATCACTTTTCAGGATACAAGAGTGACTATCCATGACTTTGAAAAACTAAGTGATCTTAAAAGGATGATAGGATTCAACTAAATAGTTGAATAGACAATAAGGAAAATGAAACTACCATAGCTTAAATTTTCTTTTTGACCTATATTGGCTAGGAATATTTTTCACAAAAAGTGTTGAGAGATGGACCTATAATTTTTGCTTGTCCTGTATTCTATTGTAAATACTGTTGCAATACCTTTAACCTACTTCTCTGCAGACAGAAGCTGATTGATCACAACAATGGTAGAGGTGAAGTTGGTCATCAATTTTCAGAGTATGTAAATATCAAAGCCATATTCTGCAGTTTCAATTGTTTGAAGCAAATTATTGGAATAAACTTATATTACTTTTGTTAATATTTCTGTGTGATTTAAAAAGATGATGTCCATCTTTAAGACTTTATAACATATACATGAAAGAAGTTTCTCTCTAAGTAGATCAATATGGAAGCAAGAACAGGAAAACTTTAAATTCTAGTCTAGAAAGGATGGTTGCAAAATTTTTAATGTTACTCTTGCAATTCCAGATTTCATAATCCATTTTCTGTCGGGGATTCCTGTAACTTTTGTGAGTAGGCAAAATAAGAAGTTACTCTAGAGGGAGAAGTTGTACCTTATAGTTGCTTCAGGTCTTTTTATGTTTCTCTTCATCTGGTAGTCAGAAGAGATATTCCTGACCCTGGAATCTTGAATTCTCAACTTCTGATAAATGCTCATATAACCCTAAAACAGTGATTATAAGCATTCTGGGAGGAGGTAGTGGTGGTCAGTATACACCCTTTGTCCCTGCCCAAGTTCAGAACCATGTGAGAGAGAAATGTAGGAGTCAGACAGGTGATCACCAATATGTGGCTTCCTTACTGAGAAAAGCTAGATTAAAGGATATGGATGTAAGCAAATGAGTTTTCTAATATTGAATTTAAGAATTAAATATACCCATCCAGTGAAAGGCAGAGCAGATCAACCCAAACATTCCACTAGCACTCCCTCAAGAAGTCTAGTTCCATTGTGTTGGCAGAAGAACAAGCAGGAATGCACCCTTTCTGTTGATAGGCTGACCCAAAAAGAGAAAGGGGCTGAGCCAAGCATGCCTTGTTCTTTTTTTTTTAAGCTCTCAAATCAGAAAGCTCACTTCTGGTAAGAGCCAGGAGTCAAAAGTTATTCTATATGGAAACACAAGGAAGAGAGAGAAATAAACATGTTCTCCTTATATCTAGTTATTAAAACCCAAGTCAACGTCACATTAATTTTAACAGTAGAAAAAGTGGCCATCTTTTCTTTCCCTTGGAACTTAGGAACATATAATATTTTACTTTATACGTAGAAGCCACTTAATTTGATATTTATTAATAAAATATAAATTATAAATATGCCTAATATAAATAATTTATGAGATAGTGCTAAATACTTTATGAAGAGGTATGTATATATATTTGGCTAATTGATCTGTAAAATTAAAAGAGAAGAAAATAGAGCTAACATCAATCAGGTTTATGGCCATGTTTTTCTTGACCACATATTTACAGGATATTTCTTAAGAAACTTTAAAGTGTATATGGGCACCTATTATATGGAATAGAGTGCCTTCAACCTTGCAGTATCAGAAAAAAATAATAACTGAATAGACTTACCAAGTGAAAAGCTATTTCTCAAAGTTGGACACATAACTAAGCAAACAGAACTGACATATAAATCCAGATGGTAAATTTTATATATCCAGGATACTAGAATTCTTGGGCCTAGCTCACTATTTTACTATAACTAGACTTACTTGGGAAGCTTTGGAATCTTCAAACACTTTCCAACCTCAGCATCTCTGTCTCTCATGTACTGAGATACCATGTAAGCTCCTATCAAAAAGTGGGTTCCATGGCTAAAAGCATTTTTAAAAATCACTGAGGTAGAACTGCAGCCTTTGGTAATAGGGCCATAGTTATTTGGACAAATCCTCCCTGATGACAATTAGAAAAACTGGAAAAAATACCAAAACATTTGCTTGAAGACATCAGAGAGTATCAACCAGGCACTTGTAATAAGTACATTACAAGTTAGTTAGCACTAAGTTGTGCTATTGGCAGTCTCTTGGGCCTAAAGAAAAAAGGACTTCAGGGCCTACAAAGATTGGGGCCTTTGAAATTCCCTAGATTCCTAAGAGTAACATTTTTTTCAGATATTTTGCAGAGCAAAAGTTGATAGAATTGTAGGGAAAAACAGACCAATCTACAACCATAGAGGACAATTTTAATACAATGATTTTTTTCCTCAAAAAAAATATAGAACACTTTAGTAATATGATTAAAATGTTAACTGTCATGTGTAAAAGTAAATCCAATAACCTACTGGACATTAGTTTCCTTTCCTACCTTAAACATGCTCAGATGCATTTATATCAGCCTACAGTTGGGCAAATATCTTTTTTTTAAAGATTTTATTTAATTTTAGAGAGAGGGGATGGGTGGGGGGAAAAAGGTGAGAGAAACATTGATAGAAGAGTGAAACATCGATCAGTTGCCTTTCACATGCCCCTGACAGAGGACCTGGCCCACACCCCAGGTATGTGCCCTGACCAGGAACTGAACCAGTGACCTTTCAGTTTGTGGGACAACACTGAACCCATTGAGCCACAGCAGTCAGAGCCAACTGGGCAATTATCTTGAGTTTAATCTCAAAAGTAATTGCCTTCTTCTTTTCACCAGAAGCAGGAGACACAGATGGGCATTTTGTAGACATGATAGGATGCAGAAACACAAAGCCAAGAAATGTTAGAAACACAGCATACTATAGAGTATTGGTTGTGTATCCCTGTGATGACGTGGCTGACCAGGAGCTGCTGCACACTGCTACTGCCCAGAAATCACAGGAGAGTATAGTACAGCATATCTCTGGCCTAGAAAAAGATCAAAATTCAGAACTGGAAGTATGGTTTCTACTAAATGCATATCACTTTCACATCATCATTAAGTTGAAAAATTTTAAGTTGAACCATCATAAGTCAGGGACTGTGTGTATAATAACGAACAGAATAAAAAAGATCAACATGACCAAAAGTGCATTTTTGAAAGGACTAATAAAATTTATAAGCGACTGGTGAGACTGGTCAGATATATAAAAGGCCGAAATAGCATCAAATACAAAAATAGAGTACTTGCTGTGGCAGCACATATATTGAAATTGGAACAATATAGAGAAGATGAGAATGGCTCCTGCACAAGGATGACATGCAGATTGGTGAAGCATTCTATACTTTTAGCATCGAGCATTGTGAACAACATCTGTATCATAGGAATGCCAGAAGGAGATGAGTGTGAGAGGACCTATTTGGAGAAATAATGGCAGAAAGTGTTCCCAGCCTGCTGGAGGAAAAGGGCAGACAAGTTCAGGAAGGACAGAGAGTCCCAAACGAGATGAACCCAAAGTGACCTACACCAAGATATATCATAATTAAAATGGCAAAGTTTGAAGACAAAGAGATACGGTAATTTAAAAGGAAGCAGGAGAGAAACAGTCAGTTACATAAAAGGGAGCCCCCATTAGACTCTCAGCTGTTTTCTTAACAGAAACACTATAGGCCAAAAGAGATTGGCAGGAAACATTTAGAGTAATGAGCTAAGAACATGCAGCCTAGATTGCTGTACTCAGCAAAGCTATCGTTTAAAATTGAGGGCCAAATAAAGAGCTTCCCAAACAAAGTAAGGTTAAAGGAGTTCATTACCACCAAGCCAGCATTGCAAGGAATGTTAAAAGACCTTCTGTAAGAAGAAGAAGAAATTGAGAGAGAGAAAAAACAAGTACAATGTAAAAATGGCAATAAATAAGACCCTATCTATAAAAACCTTAAATGTAAATGGATTAAAGGTTCCTACCAAAAGACATAGAATAGTCAAATGGACAGCATTTGCTGTCTACAGTAGACCCACCTCAGAGCAAAAGATTTCCATAGGCTAAGAATAAATGGATGGAGGAAAATATTCCATGCAATGGAAATGAAAAAGAAGTGAAGGTAGCAACACTTACATCTTACAAAATAGACTTAAAAATGAAGACCAATAAAAAAAGATAAAGATGGTCATTACATAATTCTAAAAAGATCAATCCAACAAGAAGAAATAGCACATGTAAATATATATGCACGCAATACAGGAGCACCTAAATATATTTAAAAAATCTTAGTGGACTTTAAGGAAGATATTGACAACAATACTGTCATAATAGGGGATTTTAACATCCCACTGTCAACAATGGACAGATCCTTTAGACAAAAAAAATCAATAAGGATCCAGTGGCATTGAACGACACACTAGGTCAAATGGATTTAATGGAAATTTACATATATTTCACCCCAAAGAAGGAGTATATACATTCTCCTCAAGTGCACATGGATCATTCTCACAGATAGACCACATGTTAGGCCACAAAACAAGTCTTAACAAATTCAAGAAAATTGAAATCATATCAAGCATTTTCTTGGATCACGATGGCATGAAATTAGAAATCAACCTCAATAAAAAGATTCAAAAACATTCAAATACCTGGAGGCTAAATAGCATGTTATTGAATAATGAGTGGATAACCTTGAGATCAAGGAGAAGATAAAAAAAATTCCTGAAAACAAGTGAAAATGAACACACAACCCAAAACCTGTGGGACACAGCAAAAGCGGTCCCAAGAGAGAAGTTCATAGTACTATAGGCCTACCTCAAGAAGCAAGAAAAGTCTCAAATAACTAACAGGTGTAGAGTTAGATTATTATTTCTAAAAGAACTAGAAAAACAACAACACACAAAGCCCAGAGCAAGCAGAAGGAGGGAAATAATGAAGATCTTAGTGGAAATCAATGATACAGAGACTTAAAAAAAAAAAGTACCAAAGATCAATGAAAGCAGGAGCTGGTTCTTTGAAAAGATAAACAAGATTGATGAACCTATAACCACACTCATCAAAAAAAGGAGAGAGAAGGCCCAAATAAATAGAATCAGAAGTGAAAGAGGCAAAATAACAACTGATATCACAGAAATACAAGGTATTGTAAGAAATTACTATGAACAAATATATGCCAAGAAATTGTGTTGGGAAACACTCTGTCCGGTTTCAGGAACTGTAACCTCGCCGACAGGCAAGAGGGCCCCAAGTCTGGAAATAATCAGGGAGGCCTTGGAAGAACAGGCCCCTGAGGAGACAAAACCTGTCCCCCTGGTAGGGACGCAGCCCTTGACCCCCTTGCATCCCTCTGCTTAACCCTGTGATGGTTGCTTGTTGACGACAGGTAAGTTTTTCTCATGCAGAGAAAACGACCTAGGAGACATTGGCCGGTATGGGCAGCAGACAAGGGCATGGTGGACATGGAGAAAGGGCAAAGAGGCCTGTACCCACTGGCTCGGCTTGGACATGGTCTGAAAGAAGTCTCCTTGTCTCCCGGCAGCTCCCTCCCCTCGCCTGGCTCAGGCTCGAAACAATGCTGGAGACAGCCATAAGCTGGATCTGGCAGTTCCCAGGGGAAATCATGCCTAAAATTATATTTAAAGTGCGCTTTGTTTCTCCCTCAAAAGCTATAGACAGCTCTTGCTGTGAAGAAAATTTACATCATTCACAGACCCGAACCCTATACCCTTTGGTGCTCTCATGTTTACTCATCTCCTCTCAGACCCATGTAAATCCGCCGTGTTCCTGCCATTTGTTTTCCTCAAAACATCATCTGTTCTCTGTACACATTAACATACTGATATAATGAGATAACCTGTACTTTCCTGTTACCTAGCCTCGCCAATAACCCTTCCAATAAAAGCCTTTGAACAAAGGGAATCAGGGTCTTCCCCACTAGAGGGAAGAGCCATGTCCCCTCTCCTGGCAAACAGAGAAATGTTTGCGACGACTGGTGTTTATTCCCCCTTCCGTGACCCCCTTGGGACGGGCTCTGCAGGATTCAGAGCCTGGTGCCCATCTCAGCTGGCCCCGGACGGTAACCCTCAGATCCCAGAGCGCCCTGCTCCCTGTGCTGCCCTTCGTCCCCACTGCTGTGGTCAACTGGGCAAAATGGATACATTTCTAGAAGTATACTGTCTCCCAAAACTAAAACAGGAAGAAGCACAAAACCTGAATAGACAGACAGCAATGAAGGAAATGGATGCAGTAATAAAAAAACTCCCTGGACACAAAAAGCCCTGGACCAGAGAGCCTCACAGGAGAATTTTACCAATCTTTCAAAGAACTATCACTGATCCTTCTCAAACTATTTTGAAAAATTCAAGAGGAGGGAAGACTTCCAAGCTGTTTCTATGAGGCCAGTGTTACCCTAATTCCAAAACGAGGTAAAAGACACAACAAAGAAAGAAATTATATACCAGTATCCCTGATGAACACACATGCTAAAATTCTCAACAAAATATTAGCAAACAGGATCCAGCAATACATCAAAAAGATTATACACCCTGACCACGTGAGATTTATCCTGGGGATGCAAGGTTGGTATAATATTTCCAATCAATAAATGGTGATTCATCACATAAAGAAAATGAAAGACAAAAATCATATGATCATATCAATAAATGTAGAAAAATCATTTGAGGAAATCCTGTACCCATTTAAGATAAAAACACTTAGTAGATTGTGAATAGAGGGTTCATACATCAACATAATAAAGGCCATATAAGAAAAACCTACAGGAACAAGACAGATGTCTGCTTTCACCACTTATATTTTCACTATAGATAACATACTTTTCTATATTGTACATAGAAAACCCTAAATAACCCACCAAAAACTACTAGACTAATAAATGAATTTGGCAATGTATCAGGATACAAAATTAATACCCAGAAATTGATGACATTTTTATACACCAATAATGAGCTATCAGAAAGAGAAATTAAGAACACAATTTCATTTTACTATTGCAATAGAAAGAAAAAATAAAGTACCTAGGAATAAATTTTACCAAGGAGGAACACCTGTACTTGAAAAACTATAGGCCACTGAAGAAAGAAATCAAGGAAGATAGAAATAAGTGGAAATACATACTGTGTTCATGGGTTGGTAGAATTAACATCATTCAACTGGCCACTCTATCCAAAGCAATCTATACCTTCAACACAATTCCTATTAAAATACCAATGTCATACTTCACAGAACTAGAAGAAATACTCCAAAAGTTTATATGGAACCAAAAGAGACCTTGAATAGCTTCGATAATCTTGTAAAAGAACAAAGTTGGAGGTGTCACAACTCCTGATATCAAAATACACTATAAAGCCACTGTAATAGAAACAGCCTGGTACTGGCACAGGAACAGACAGATAGAATGGAACAGAACAGAGAGTGGAACAGAACAGAGAGCCCAGGAATAAACCCATGCCTGTATGACCAGTTGATACTTGACAAAAGTGGCAAGAGCATACAATGGAGCAAAGACAGTCTCTTCAATAGTGGTGTTGGGAAAACTGGACTAGTACATGCCAAAAAATGAAACTAGACCACCAACTTACACCATACACAAAAATAAACTCAAAATGGATAAAAGATTTAAATGTAAGTCATGAAACCATAAAAATCCTAGAAGAAAACATAGGTAAGAAAATCTCAGATGTTCAATGTAGAAATATTTTTGCTTATGTATATCTTAAGGCACTGGAAACAAAGCAGAAAATAAATAAATGGGACTACATCAAATTAAAAAGCTTCTATACAGCTAAAGAAACCATCAGTAAGACAAATAGGGAATCTGCTATATGGGAGAACACTTTTGCCAATGATACATCTGACAAGGGTTTAATCTCCAGTAGGTACAAAGAGCTAATACAACTCAATGCTAGGAAGACAAACAATCCAATTAAGAAATGGGCAAAGACCTGAATAGACACTTCCCCAAAGAGGACATACAGAGGGCCCATAGGCATATTAAAAAATGCCCAACATCGCTAATCATGAGAAATGTAAATTAAAACCTTAATGAGATACCATCTAACACCTGTCAGAATGACTACCATCAATAAATCAACAAACAACCAAGGTTGGCGAGAATGCAGAGAAAAGGGAACCCTAGTACACTGTTGGTGATAGCGCAGTCTGGTGCAGCCACTGAGGAAAACAATATGGACTATCCTTAAAAAATTAAAAATGAAACTCCCTTTTGACATAGTGATTCCACTTTTGGAAATATACCCCAAGGATCCTGAAACATCAATAAAAAAAAATGCACACCTATGTTTATAGCATCACTGTTGACAATAGCCAAAACTTGGAAAGAGCATAAAGG